CGGGGCGCTGCGGCCCGCGGGGGCTGCCCCCCAAGGCCCCCCGTGGGGAGCGGGGCCCCGGGGCCGTCGCTTCCCGGCGGCAGGAAGGTCCTCGCCCCGCTGATTGCAGGGGAGGCTGCGAGGCGGGAGCCTGCGGGCCGAAGCGCCCCTAAAAATAACCCGAAAGGGGCTATATTTAACCACGTGTGATTCGCTGCCTTCCCGCGGCGGGCACAGCCTGGCCGTGTCGCGGCCGTGTCCCCCGCGCGGCCGGGACGCCCCGAGCGCAGAGCCAGGGCCGGTGCCGGCCGGGCCCGCCGGGCTCAGCGCAGCACCCCGGGGTGCTCCCCGGCTCCCCCTGCTCGCAGCCTCGCCGGTGTGAAAACCGAGGGAGCTGCTTGGAAACCAAGGCAGGTTCTCAACAGCAAGACTCAAGCGAAAATTTAAATTGCAATTCTTGCAAGCTCGCTCCTAATTAGCAATGAAAGGGCTTCCGGCGAGGAACTTAAAATAGTCAATGCTCTCTGCCCAACTGATTATTTTTTGACTAATTTTCCTTCCTCAAACCCCAGAGTACCTGAGCTATGTGCATAAGAKATGTGCATAGTAATGAAGCTGGCAAAAATAAAAAAAAAAAAAATACAGAGGGAGGCAGAGAAAAGGCTGCAATTTGCAAGTCTAATTTCAGCAGCAGCCCGATTTGGATGGGGGAGAGGCGGGATAGCCAGCAGGGATGGATGGAGGAGCCCCAGCAAAGTGGGATCCTGCCCGTCTGTAGCCCTCGCGAGCCAGAAAGGGCAGTGGGGGCAGCCGCAGCTCTGTGGGTGCACGAGCACCACCGCGCGCTGCCAGATCCTTGCACATTATGTATACATTTATTCATTTATATATATAGCTCTGGCTGCTCTGCTGCAGCCCTGAGGCTCGCAGCGCATCCGTCTGCGGCAGGCAGCGCCTGCCCTGCTCTTGGGCCTGCTGCTCCCAGCCCAAATCCCGCCTCTCTGTCCCTGTGGCCTCATCCATAGCAGGGGTTCACCCGTGTCCCCGCGCTGACTCTGCCACAGCGCTGTCACCGCGTCTTCATCACTCGGAAAATCAATTCCGCRCAGAGCTGGGAGCTGCCTGGAAATATTAGAGAGGTATTTTCTTACTGCAGAAAGGCTTTTTGCAGGAGTGCTTCTGCAGGAGCCTGGGCAAACCTCTCCATGCGGCACATGGATAACGCGACCGGGAGCCGCTGGCCGGGGCCTCTGCCGCTGCAGCCGTCGGGCCTTGGCTCCGGCCGCCCCTGGAGCCGGGCAGGGACCTGCGGTGTCATTAGCGCCCCTGTTTTGGGGCACACTGTCCAGTTCCCCCCTTGGACCTCTCCAGCAGGCAGGCGAGTGGAGCCCGCTGGCTGCCTTCCCATCTTCTCCCCGGGAACCTGCTGCTCCCCTGGCAAGTTCTGCAGCACATCTGAAATGAGGAGGAAGAGGGAGGGCTGATTCGGGTCCTCCTCGCCACAGCAAGGCTTATTTTTGGAGCCCACCTTGTGCTATTGAGAACAGAGCTGATGCCCCCCAAAAAGGCCTTGCCCAAAGCAGCAGCTCCATCTCAGCATCGCCTTCCTCCTCATCCTCCTCTTCCTCCAGTGCGGTTGCCAGCAAGGAAATATGGCAAGTGCAGGAAAATAAATAAATAAATGAGTAAAGCCACCCCAACACCCGGCTCATCTGTGAGTGATGCTTTAAAAGGCTTCGGAACCGCAGCTGTCCCGTGGCAACGTGTCAAGCGCATYGCGCCGCAGCCGCCGCGCTCGCCGCGGTGCCCACGTGGCCGGCCTACCCAGCGCCATCTGCTCGGAGCCGGCCCCGGGCAGCTGGCTGGTGGGATGGCAAGAGGGATCCGGAGCTTTTTAGGAGATCTTCCCGCCTGGAAAGCGCTCCCATGAGATTCCCGGCCTTCCTCCCACTCCTCGGAGCAGCCCCTTTCAGTTTTCCCCGGCAGGGATGTGCTGCTTGCTCCCTTCCACACGGGTTTAGCCGGGAGGACTGAGTCGCTCCCAGCTTTTCCATCTGGAATGGGAAGCATCCCTGGAGGCTGTTTAAAAACAAACAAACAAACAAACAAACAAACAAACAAACAAACAAACAAAAAACTAAAAACCCTCCTGTCTCTCCCGTTTCCTTTGGGGTTTTCTCCATTGAACCATGCCAGGTCCATCAGCCTAGAGCAGGCACAGGATCTCCGCACCACCTCCCTTTTCCCCTCTTAGCACATCCTTTCCTCTTCCTTAGTTTCCTCTTCCTGGCCAGATTGACACTTTTTTTTCTCTTTTTTTTTTTTCAGGTGATAAAGGTTTTTTAAAAACTCTCTGCTTTCCAAGAGCAGCYAGGAAGGAGATTTCAGACTTTCCCCCTCCCCATACTTCCCTGAAAGAGTAATTCAAACAACTTTAATTGTACATTATTTTCTCTTGGAATTGTCCCTCCGGATAATTTATCCTCTTTGAGCCTYGCTCTAGGGAGCACAATCTTATCTTTCAGCTCCAGCAACGCCGACAATTTCCTATCTTCCAACACCTTCTGCTCGGCACCATGTTAGGGCTTTGTTATATAGTTGATTAAAGCAAAATTGCCTTTTTTTTTATTTTCCCTTCAATTTTACAGCAGTGTAACCCAGAAATGCCCAAAGAATCAGAGCTGCCTTCGAGGCCGCTCGTGTGCTGGTGGCCACGGTGGCCTTGCTGCTCAGGCTGAGGCTCCTTCACGCCAGCCACATTTGCCAGCAGTTCATCCTCCCCATTGGCCCTCCCGGCAGCTTTTGGGGGAGACACAAAGGTGCTCAGCTCAGCCCGCGGTCACTCCCTGCTATTCCTACCGCTTGTTTTCCCCGTGAAAACAAAAAACAGGGACACCCAGAGCACGGGGCACCMAGTCGCRT